AATGACAGCCAGTCACTTTTCCATTCGTAGAGGTCTTTAACTTGACCATACATTGCGATTTACAGCCACAGTTTGATATCCTCGGTTGAGCGACCATACGTGTAAACAGTGTTTTAGTAGTGTTACATAATTATTAATTGAACCGAATTTTACAGCAATTTGGATACTTTTCTTTTTTACATTAATATCCAAAAATACAGCCTTACATTGCTAGATTCATCTAAATCAGATGTTTCGTCTTCAGGCGATGAACTCATGGCGATGTAGCTTCTTTCGTTTTGTAAATTTAAAGAGTCAAACTCTTCGTTTGCCGCCATAGTAATACAATATTAAGTTGCGTGTAACCTGAGCCGCTTGTCATATCAATCAATCAACAGCGGTATTGTCGGTCACGTGGGGTGCTGCACTGTGCCTTTAATTAACAATTATTCGCCGAAGGCGAAGTGATTACCGGTGAATATTCACCGAGACGAAGTCGAGGTGAATATTCACCATAATCACTGAGCCTGAGGCGAATAATTGTTTTAGTATAAATTTTTAATGAATAAAACAAAATATCCAAATATCAGTTCAATTAAAATTCAGAAATAATACTGTTTTCGGCCTGTTCACGGTTACTGTCACTAACAGTGTTGCAGTGTTTCTTGTACGCACATGCTTTCAAAATGACTTCTTGTGTGACTTTATTGCTTTATTACAAAGTTGTTTTTCTCGATTTCTGCTTAGAATATAAACACAATAACGAAATGATTTTTTCACCAGACTTATATAATTAAAAAATAGTTTCTGTTTAGCATTCATGTTTTCAGGAAATAGCTGAGAAATTGGTAAAATGAATTATAATATAGCATTTGTAAATTCTGAACGCTGATTGGCTAAGAGCCGTGTTGATATAACTCAATGTCAACACGGGAAATTTTCCGCTGCTTGTAAACATGGAAATGTTTCTTATCCTTCGGGCTTTTGACATTGCTATATTATAAAAAAAATATAAAACATTTTTTCCGTATTGATATATAGTTATATCAACACTCGTGGAAGTTGGGAAAACTCGAAATTGTATGAAAACACTCCGCCCTTCGGGCGTCGTGTTTCCACACAATTTCTCGTTTTCCCAATTCCACTCGTGTTGATATAACTGTATATCAACACGGAAAATGTTTTATATTTGTTAAATGTAAAACTATATCGTTCGAAATAAAGTTTTAATAACACTTTTCACTTTACAAGTTTTGAAAACACAATACAGCAGTGAGAACGCCATACAGAATAATGAAAGCATGACATATCAAAAGAAATAGTATCGTACAAATTGAGAAATCTATAGGATACAAAACAAAATGGATTTAAAAGAATATCACGGCAAGGTTTTTCCCATTGAACAGTCGGGATACTTTTTGCTATTTGTTTGAAAACAAAAACTCCGGTTTTAAATAAGTTTTAAATTGTCCGTGAATATGTTTGACACAGTAAAATAATAAAGGAATCCTACCTTTCAAGTTAAATACAACAGTTTGTGCTTCTTTCGTTTTCGGGGGACGATTTTTTAAATCTTTTGTCGATTTTGAAACCAAATTTGCCGAATCATTCTTTTTGAAAAGCATTATTTACTACCCAGGTGGTAAATAATGCCTCAGATTTACTAGTCAACTAACCAATCAGAACGCGCGAAAGCTTATTTGATATGCAAAATTTGTACTAATTAACATTATAATTTATTTAAAAAAATCCTGGTTTCTGATTGGCTAACAGTCAACTCTGAAATTGTCATATCAACTCAATGGCTAACCAAATTAATATGGATTTTTCACATTCATATTAGCAAAATGACGTCAAAGAGTCAATATGAAAAAAAATTGGACGCGTTTGCGTCATATTACTACGACGACGAGAATCATATTGACTCGCTGACGCCATTGATATGACGACGTCGACGGCTGCTGAAGGACTAAGGAAATTTTCTTAATACAAATAAAATACAAATGGCTTCTTCCACTGAAAGGTTCGCCAACCTTGGCGAAGCCGAAATTCAAAAATTACTGGAAGATAAAGATTCGTTAATATAAATACAAAATTAAAGATCAACAAAAGCTTCTAGAATAGGTAAAAACAGTCAGTTTCCTAATTCTTGATTGGCTGATTAACGCGGGCGAACAAAGGGATGACCGTTTGTTATGAAGTTTTTAAATAATTTAAATGTCCGGTTTAGGAATGAAGCAAGACCTCTCGATCGCGCAGTTAAAGTTGCCTAACATGAGTTATATGTAATCTATTTAGATACCGTTGACACCTAGTTTATTTGGGTATTTGTTTATTTTTTTACCCAATAAAGTGCATGATAGTGATGTCATTTGTTCAATTTATTTGTTCAACCATATAGACTAGGGGAACCTTTAACACTATAGACTGGGGAGACCCCGTCCAGTGTCTATTTGGCCCCTCCAGTGAACTATGGTCCCCCCTCCCGCAGGTGATGGTCCCCCCCTGTCGAAATTAAATCTAAGTAAGAAAGGGAAGAATACAGTAACTAAGTCAGCGTTTAAGTATTCTCATGACCAACTCTTTGTCTAGCAGTTGAGATATATCAAACAGTGGGTGTTTAAAAATGGCGTTAAAAATACAAAAGGAAGTACGCCCAGACCCTCTACAATATCTCACATTTCCAATTTGCCACTCAACTAAAAATTCAAAAAATAGGTACGCAATGCGTACATGTGGCTAGCCTGGTAAATTTTAACTCCCCAAACCTTCCTCCAAACCCAGAGAGCCTGCCATACTGGTTAACTTTAATAGTAATAAGAAGATACGCAGGCTAACTTTAATAGTAATAAGAGGAGATTTTATTGTACAATGCATATGCAATCTCTGTGGTGATTGGCTAAGAATCTACAAACAATTCTCAATGTCTTGCTGCCTCCGACATTGAAAAATTGTCGGTAGGTGACATGACTTCTAGTATGCATGGCTGACCTACAAAACTCTCTGCAACTGCACGTGCTCTTGCATTTGCAATTGTACAATATATAAATTACTGTGTCCAGCCCTCAGCTTCAGCAGATAACATTGTCATAGCTGTCGAGGTTGACTGCATATCGTGCATGAGACTTCGCACTCCTAGGAGGGAGGAGCTAAGTGTTCCAGCATCATACACACTTCCCACAATGTCTTAAAATTTGGGTTTCTGAAATGACATTTCCAGCATTATTTGAACACATTTTTGAAAGATTACCTTTCCTAACCCATTAAGTTGCAAAGCTTCCCCACTGACGAATAAAATCGTCTGGCGTTGGACAGGTAAAAAAAGTAGGGCGCACTGGGGCACATTGCGGCACACTGAGTTAACCAATATTGTCGGGGCTGTTCATGTTGCAGGTCAAATGAAGCATTATTGACTGCAAAATTAGTATGGAAAATATAAAGAGAAAGCAAACTCATTTCACACATTTCTGAGTTTTGCATGTGTCTTAATTTTTGCAAATTCTGTAGATTATACTTAGTGGATGCTTATACCCAGGGGATGCTTATACCCAGAGGGTGCTTAGTGGCAGGGGTTGCCTATTCTTGGGTTTCACTACAGCATTATGCAGTGAATCTGACGGGGAGTCAACCTCAAATGTAGATGCTTATGCTGTAGTGGAGTGAGAAAATGATACGAAATTCCATGTATTTGCCACCGAACACAAGGCTAATACATAAAACGAACAATCGACTCACTCTGATAACTGTGTTTTGTTGACCGCCCGTCACTTTTGTGATGTCATATGAAACCCAAGAATACGGGTATACTTGCTGGATGCTTATTATACTCAGAGGGCGCTTTAGCAAATAGTTTCAAAAGGAATGTGAAAACACATTAGATGATGAACACAACAATTTTTATACATCCAAGGAGATATATACTAAAAAATGCAAATACATGTACTAACAAAATTACTAAAATAATTTCATCTACATGGACTACTGTACTATAGCAATAGTCAAGGTTGTTCTTGTGACTACATTAGCAAAAGTCAAGGTAGTTTTTTTTACTAATATACCAATAGTCAACTAGGTAGTTAATCCCAGCACAAATGGCAATTGGTTCCCAGCACAAATGGCATTGTTTGGTACGTGGCCTTTCACGTACTGTAAATAGCCCTGTATGATCAGTACGAGCACAATGGGCCCTTTCATGTGTAATATTGTATTTTTCAATTTTTGATTTGGCTCCTTTGTATACTGTATTTCTGATTTGATACGTCGACCTCGCGTATAAGAATGCCAGATCTATATTCGGACCAAAAATATACTTTGACCAGAGCGAGCCAAAATGGCGTTGTAAATAATACAATAAAAGCTGAGCAAACTTATACAAAAATAGAAATAAGCAAATATACCTTTTACTCAAAGGAACACAAGGAATAACGCGATATGCTGCTCAAAGAAACACAAGGAATAACGCGATATGCTGCTCATGCTAGTGTAGAAGTAGAAGTCCTCAAACTGGATCAAAATCATCAAATGCCTCGAAATGCAAATGTGAAATGTCGGCAGAAAAATACGGGCACTTCCGATTGCTTCCGATACTTTACGAAAATCCGGACTGGACACCATGATCATCATCGCTCATCGCGTTTGTGTACTATGTGATAATGGCTAGCCCGCAAACGGGCTAGCCACAAAAACAGGCCACGGGCGACGTCCAAATTTTCCACATGAACATTACAAGGATTTGTGCCAAGGATGCCAATGTTGAGGAAAACTATAGTTGAAAGTACAAGGATAGCTAACAACACAAGCGAATTTATTTAGCGAATTCGTAAACTGAATGAATCTTGTTTCGTATTCCTTATCCAACATTGATTGAATGAAATGAGCATACCCGCGTTGTTCATTCAGGAATTTATACTATGCTGGTTAAGTCCAGTTCTGTGTCGTTCTCGTCTATCGACTGATGACCTATGATATGTTTCCTTTACAAATAATAAAAGTATCGTGGAAACTCCGCAAGTACAAACTGTTGTCCATAACATCCATTTCGTTCCATAATTTCCTAGCGGTATAGCAAGAAACCCAGTCTGTAAAATGTTATTGAAGAAAGTGATCATCCCGGCAGTTATTCCCTCAGCTACCGGATAAGTGATCTCTACACCAAGTTCAAAGAAGAATGGAATAGTGCCATTTAGAAAGAAACCACTCAGTCCAAACAGGATGTAGACAACGATCTTGTTAAATGAGATAACTCCAGTGAAAACATAGCAGATTGATAAAGTCGTGTAAAATGACAGCACCATAAACACAACGAGAAATAATTTGTGGTGGCCTGAAAAACGATCTGCAAACCTGAAAAGGATAGATAGAGAACAGGGTTATGACTGTTCCTATGAAGTAAAACTCTACGTCTGAGCCGCATACGCCAATGGGATTCAAATAAAATTACATCTGTAATATATCATGTATATACAGTGTAACTGTAACGGTAAGATAACAGCGAGTATTGAACAGCAATTGAACCTTGCGCAAGGTACGTCATCTTGGCTATAGAACTTCGTTTTTGTGACTGAGACGTTGCGCTTTAACTAATCTAACATGCATGGAAACGAGGCTCTATAGCCAAGATGATGTACTTTCCGGAAGAGTGTACTGCACCCGCAGCTTCAATAGAAACGGTATTAGTTGTGACGGAAAGACTACAAAATTGTAGCTTCATATGTGACTATATATTCATCAACAGCTATAAGGTTCAAACTATTGTTGGAATTGATTGTATATTTGCAATAGAAACTCTACAGTATCAGTTACAAACTTCATTTACTGACAGTGAGTGTACAATGCTATTGCAAACTTGAAATGAAAATGCATCTATCCTACTAGTAACACACTTATAGTTCTTCCTCCGGTTACAAAACCGCCTTTCCCAGGCTTGTTCGGCCTTGTCTTCGTGATTTTCTGGTTATTAGTGGAATGTGATTTTTGAAGTGCAACTGATGTGATAGTACAGGATGAGATAACTACATCACTGGCATAACAAGATGAAAGACTTTCAATCTAAATTCTCAAGGCTGATCGTATTTCCCGGACACAATGTAGCTATTTGAGAAGCATCTCCAGAGATATGAAAAACTAGTTTCATATACTACTGTACTTTGACACTGCAGAGTGCAACAAAAGATTCGTGGTCTCCAGCGAGATTCGATCTCTCATCTTTGGGTTTCCAGACCGCCGTTCTGCCCATTGAGGTATCGAATTTGTGTACCGTCTCTACACTCTGACTAGACCTGATGTAATGCCCATTATAAATTTGTTCTTACCACATGCCTGATCATTTAAGCATTCATACGTTTGTCGTGATTAATTACACATGCCCGTTTCGGTGACAGTTTGAACATTGATTATTGCATCGTAACACCTAATTATCAATTCATTGCAAGGCAATTTATAACCAACTAAAACTACGTTTGCTCCTAGTTTAGTGTAAGGATTTAAAACAATATTTTCAAATTAAACTGTACTCACAATGAAAACGACACTCCTGAAAAGGATCCACTGATGACAGCAACAAATCCAAGCCATCCAGCAAACTTCGCATTCACTGAAATACCATACTCAGATAAATTTTGATATAATACAGCACACCATCCACCATACACTCCAGTACTTGCCCCAAATATCGTTGCCAATAGTAGAAAATTATAATTTGTACATAGTTTCTTTATACCATTTTTAAAATCAACACGTTCTTTGGCAGCGGATAAACTGGGTGGCTTCTTTGGTTTTGCAGGATAGTAAATAACGATAGTCACAAAAACGACGAACTGAAGACCAGCTTCAACATACAGAAGATTGTTAATTTGTCTTTTGTACATATTTACCTGAGTACCATTTAATCGATAGTGGTTGTCCACCTTAGGAAAGTTTGAGTCTTTAATATCATCAACAAATGCAGGTGAAATAATGAATCCTAAAGCCGATCCTATGTAACCAGCTACAGTTGACATGGAGGTGGAAGTTGTACGTTGGTTTGGAGGGAACCAGGTTGAAGATATCAAAGCAGCAGGGTACATTCCACCAGCAATTCCAATGATGAATTGACCACAGTGTATTAAAACTGTTGCTGTGGTGTTATTGTCAGTTGGAATGCATCGGATGGCAGAACCAAAGAGTTGTAATCCAGATGATAAAACCATGGTCACTCGTAGGCCTATCAATCAATCAATGTAAAATGGAATATTATAAGCTGGGAATAAAACGAACGGACTATGTCAGTGTACAGAGGAGGAATGAGGGTCTTCCCGAAATGCAACGCGCGAATCAGTGCGGCTCATTATTATTCAAGCTATTTATTCTCATCACGCCGTTCGATTAAAAACTGTTGAAATATATTGCGATTTTTGCTGTGAAGATCTCGTTTTCTCAAAGGTATGTTTCGATAAACTTTTTGCTTAGTTACTTAATAAAAGAAGTGTTGAATAATTTTGCATATATATCGCATTTTACTTATGTTAAATTCCCATTGTATTTATGCATGTTTTGGGTGTTGAAAAAGTGGCATTGAAATATTCTGGAGTAAATTGTACTTTTTTACAAGGAAACTAAAATAAAATTACATCAGTG